CCTCCCTTGTCCGCGGGTTTTATGGTGAGGTTGGGATTGGAGCGGAGGGCTGCACGTTCTGCGGGGGAGAGGTTGGAGTGGGTGAGAGGGGTGGAGAGGTTGAGGCGATTGATGTCTCGACGGTAGTTGGAGATGAAGAGGTCGAGGGAGGGTAGGAGGCCTTGGGGTGGTGTCCAGGAGGAGGGGGTGTGTTGGAAGTGGGAGAATGGGTCAGTAGAGGGAGGGTTAGGTTCACGGTTGAAGAAGTAAGCGTGGAGGCGGAGGCGGCGGAAAAGCTGCTCTATGTCCAAGCGTGAGCGGTATTCGTTGATCTGTGGGTGGAGGGGGTCTTTCAACCTTGTCAGGTCCCTTAAGACTCTTACATCTTTCAGCAAGGTGTCCTGTCATTCCTTTAAATTCTAATGTGTGTAGGCCTAACCTACTCAAGCTCTCCTCATAAAACTGTCCCTCCATACCTGGCATCAGCCTAGTGAACCTTTTGTTGGATATCCATAACTTCTCCAGTTTTTATTGTTCATTCAAGGGATCTTGCTGACTTGGCCAGCATTTATTGCCCATCCCTAACTGATAGTTGAGAATCAACTGCATCGCTGTGGGTCTGTAGGCACATGTAGGCCTGACCAGATAAGGATAGCAACTTTCCTTCCCAAGGACATTAATGAGGCAGATGGGTTTTTCCATCAATCAACAGTGAGGGTTTCATGGTTATCATTAGGCTCTTAATTCTTGACTTTTGTTGAATTTAAATTCCACCATTTGCCCTAGCAGGATTCAAACCTGGGACCCCAAATGATTACCTAGTCACTGAATGAATAGTCTCGTGATAATACCAGTAGGCTATCGCCTCCCTTGGGGATTAATCATGGTTGGATATCCCCTTCCTAGAATCCTCCTTCCTCCCTGGAATATATCTTTGCCATGAGCCCTGAACTATTTTCTTTAATGTCTGCCATTGGTCCTCAACTGACATCACACCTAAACTCCTTTTCAAGTCTACTGCAGCCACCTCTGTCCTCATTCCTTTCTAATTACCTTTATTTAAGCTTAACAGGGTTGTTTCCAACCCAATTTCCTCCCTTGAAACTGACTGCTAAATTCTACTACATTAAGGTTACTGTTTCCTAAGGGATCTTTTACTCTGACATCATTTACTAAACCTGCCTCACTTGATCCAAAATAGCGTGATACCTTGTTAGATTCACAATGGATTGTTGTCGGAAGCTAACTAAAGTACACTTGTAAATTCTTCCTTATTGCTTACTCTGCCAATTTGACAAGCCCAATCTATGTGAAGGTTAAAATCACTCATGATTAATGTAATTCATCATCGTTGTTTTAAAAGAAGTGCTTCATTTTTCTTCTGGATTGTTTACCAGTTACTTTCAATGCGTGTTCTCTGGTTGCCAACTCCCCAATAGGAAACAGTTTTTCTCTACTCTATCAAAACCCTTTTTTTGAACACCTGTAGTAAATCTCTTTTATTCCTCTGCTCTACAAACAGCAGTACCAGTTTCTCTGGTAACTCCATTTAAGCAAGCTCCTTCAGAGAAACAAGAGTAGACCATTCAGCCCCTGGAGCCTATTCTGCCATTCAGTGAGTTCATGGCTGATTTGTGGCCTAACTTCATATACTGCCTTTGGCTTATATCCCTTATATCTTTGCTTAACAAAAATTTATCTGTCTCAGATTTAAAATTAACAACTGATCCAGCATCCACTGCTGTTTGTGGAAGAGTTCCAAACATGTACCACCCATTGTATGTAGGAGTGCTTCCTAACATCTGTCAAATCTCCTCTAAACCTTCTCTTAAAATTTTTACGTCCACCTCGAAATGTGATTTCCATGTTTCTGCAAATGAGGTTGAACCATTGTTTTATAACTGTAATTTATGTGTCCATTTCCAAAGCATCATCCTGTAAGCTTTTTTTTTATCAGCCGCCTTGTTCTGCTGCATTTGTGTATGTGAGCCCTCCGGTTTCTGTTTCTCCTGCATTCCCCTTAACATCGTACCATTGAGTTTTCTATTGGTGTCCATCAAATATTTCAGAATTATTTTAACGTGATTTAAAGAAAGAAGACTTGGGATTTGACAACCGAATGTTTTTAATTTACTTGAACAATTAATAATGCAAAACAGTATTTAAAAAGTAAAAAGTGTATCCAAAGCATGAAGTAGTTTAACTTCCTGTTGCTTCAGTCAAATGTAATGAAATTGTATTAGTTACCGATTCATGCATTTCCTATAAGTGCAAAACATTATGAAGGCAGCCTAGAGAAAGGTTAAAGCAATCTTTTCTGGAAAATTATGAAATTAGATATTCTAATAAAGTGAGTATTGCTAATGAAATGAAACCCGCTGTGTTTTTTATAATGCATGTTGAACAGAGATTAAAGGGCACACGTGATCTTGGAAACCAGGAAAGTCCATGAAATATGGATCCTTATATCTGAAACTATTGAATTACTCTTGAACATAATACTGAATTTACAAAGTACATAATTAATCAATATGCACCATGAATTAAGTAATTTGTGATAGTAATATGTCTCCAAATTTTTTTTAGAATGTTCAAAAATGGCATAGAAATGACTCCATCAAAATCTGTAAAAAGTAAAAAGCGAATTGAAGTAAACATCACTGTCAACCAAAACACTGAAAATGAGAGAAAGTGCAAGCTTAAAAGAGAAAAAAAGAAAACTAAGAAGTCTGAAGTGGAAAAGATTCCACTTGAAGCAAATGACGTTGAAGTCTGCAGGAAACTAAAAAAAATGAAGAAAAAGAAAATATCCAGAAGGTCAAGTATCAGTGATGAGGAACAAGGTGCTAAGATTGAGAGAAAAATAGCAAAAGGTCATCCACAAGAGAGTGAAATTGATGAGGACTCATATCATTTAAAAAATAAAAAGAAAAGGAAAAAAAGCTTCAAAATAAATGAACATTCTGGCCCTCAAAGTACGCCTGAGAAAGGAAAAAGAAATATCAGTGAGGATGACCCAAGCAGAGTTCAAGTTAAAAGTGAGCATAACAATAAGAAAAAGAAAAAAATCAATTTTGAAAATTCTGATGTGGAAGAGGGATTCACTAAAAGTAGGAAGACGTCAAATGGTACAGCTGACAAATTGGGCAACATAACAGAAGTGTCTTGTGTCGTTAGAGCCAAAAGTGTGAAGAGAAAGAAGAAAAAGAAACATTTTCATTCTGAGGATTTTGACATGTCTGGAAATGAAAAATCAATGAAGAAATGGCAGAGAGACATTAATATCAGTGAGCTTGAAGCTGGGAATGACAAATCCAATCAAGCAGACACAAAGAAACAAAAGGATGAACAAATTCTGGATACCCTAGAGAAAAAATGCATGAAAAAGAAAAAGAAACACAAGCTACATACTGTGGAACGAGAAGAAGTACACAAAGGAGAAATGGTTAAAAAGAGGCAAGGAGTGGAGCAAATAGAAAATAACGTGGAATATGTTTCGAAATCGCACAGAAAAAGAAAAAGATCCGCTGAAACTGAAGGAGAAGGAATTGAGACAAACCTGGACAAAACTAACAACATTTGTAAATTCCAGGACTCCCCAGAGACTGCAGAAGGGAAAAAAGTGGAAACACCATTTGATGTTCTTGAAGAATCTGTGAAAATTAAAATGAAAATTAAAAGGACGAAGAAAGAGGCCTCATCTGTGATGCAGGTTTGTAAAGTAAATCATAACTTTTGTGTTTAATATATAGATTTAAAATGTTTAAAAGAAATTGATGCTATAATACGTTGGTGAGCCATGAAACCGTAACCAGCCTGAGCATCGCTTCTTCTGGTTGGAAACATGAACAGTAATTTGATTATTTCAGTCAAGAAGTATTTTGCACGTAATTATATTTATAGATAATCAATGTAACTGCATTTTCTTTTCCCAGATAAAAGAGGAATTATGCAACAGTGACGATTTACAATTTATGTCTGAAAGAAAAGGAAATTTGTTTGAAGTGACGATAGACAAGGTACAGAAATATGTTGAACATCTAGTCTATAATAGACAGGTACTGAGGTGACAAGGAAAGGCAGTCCGGTTGTCTGTATAGTCCTTTCTAATACTATAATTTCTTGTGATTCTGCTCATGTGGATAGGCACTAAGGAAGATGAATAACCTGTTTAGTCAGGAAAAAATCAGGAACAGAAGTTGGGTTCTTGATTATTCTTTTCTGCCACTAATAACATGGCTGACTGAGTTGTAAATATATTAACTATTTTAAAATTACAGGTACATTTTTATTGCTAATTTCCTCCTCTGTCCTGAAAGGTTGACCCTTTGACTAAAGTGTGGTTCAGTTTGAACAAGGTATCCCCCTCAGTAACTTGTCTTTGTGTGTGTATTAACTAACTGTGTTTCCAGGGGAAGCATCGCAATTGGACCAAATCCATTGCTATCCTTGCTAGCACGCTTTTTAAAGTTGCTGGAAACAATGTTTATTAGTCACATTACAGAATTTGAATACTATACAAGCCACTTATTTAATTTCATAGTTGCGGTAGAGAGAGCCAGTTCATAAGAATTGAGGCATAGATCTCGATTCGGATGAAAAATTCCTGTAAAACAACCAAGAGTGACATCTTTACATCATCTTTACGTCATCTTTAATTTGACACTGAACATTCAGTAATTATAGCACTTGCGTAGCTGCCCTGACCAGGACTAGCAAATGTGGCAGACAGAAGGAAACAAGCTTGGCCTTTCCTAGTCATTTTTGACCTAGTTAAACAGTATCTAGTCACTGTAATAGCTGGAGTAATTTTATGTATGAGTTTTTGTTTTGGGAATTTGTTCATATAGCATTATTTACAGCACAAATAGAGGCCATTTAGCTCATTGAGTCCATGCTGGCTCTCAGTGAGCAACCTAGCCACTTCCACTCACCGGCTGTGTCCCCCTAGCCCTGCACCTTTCTTCCCTTCAAGCATCCACATGATTTCCTTTTGAAATCAGTGTTTCCACTTCCAATACCTTCATGGACAGTTCCAGATCATTATAACTTGCTGCTTTAAAAAGTTGTTCTTCCTTCATTGTCCCCTGTATCTCTTGCCAGCCTTGAATCTGTGACTCCCTACTCTTGTTCCATTGGCTAATCACTTTTTCTTTTAAGTGCTATCAAATTTCCCCTTTGCTCCAATTTTCTTTATTCATTCATGGGCTGAGGGCATTGCTGGTTAGGTTAGGCCAGCATTTATTGCCCATCCCTAATTGCCTGAATGGCAGTTAAGAGTCAACTATATTACTGTGGGTCTGGAGTCACATTTAGGCCAGACCAGGTAAGGATGGCAGTTTCTTTCCCTAAAGGACATTAATGAACCAGATGGGTTTTCCCCGATAATCGGCAATGGATTCACGATCATCATTAGATTCTTAATTCCAGATATTTATTGAAATCAAATTCCACCATCTGCCATGGCAGGATTCGAACCTGGGTCCCCAGAACATTACTTGGGTCTCTGGATTAACAGTCCAGCGATAATACCACTAGGCCATCGCTTGCCCCTAAATCAAAACAGTCCCAGCTGTTCCAACCTAATCTAATGACTCCAGTCCCTTCCCAATCTCTGGAACCAAACTGGTAAATCTTTCTCTTCTCGGGGAACTTTGCATTTTTCCAAAAGTGTGGTCACCAGAACTGAATATAAAACTCTTGCCATCTTGTGAGGAGCCAAATTGGACTCAATGGGTTAAATGACTTAAGCAGAGCCTTCTAAATGTTTTGCATAACATGCCTGCTTTTGTATCTCATATGCTTTGCTAACAGCTCTCCCAATTTGTCCTGCCACCTTCAAAAATTGATTCACGTGCAGCCCCCAGTTCCCTATATCCCTGCATACTTTGAAACAATGCCATTAAATCTATATTGTCTCTCCCTATCCATTCCGCCAAATTGCTGCAGCTCAGACTTTTTTCTAATAAAGACTACTTGCTACTTGCCTGCTCATGATGCTAACCTATCCATGTTCTGTTGTAGGCAATTCATATTATGAATGTATACACGTATGAAGCTGAAAAGTACCATCCCTATGTATTGTGCCATTATTAGATACTTCAGTAACTCTGGAAGTATGTCTATGGATGTTGGATATAAAGATAAGACAGTCTCTGACGATGGCTTCAAGGGGTTCTATAGTTCTGTGGCCTACCGTGTCAATGCTTCCATAAAGCATGATTATTTAGGTGAAATGTTGCCATCTTTTGGCAGCATCCGCATGCTTTACTAGAAAGGGAGGATTCTCAGAGCAGTGGTGGTGTGGCATGGGGAAAAATGAGAAGGTAATTGTATTCCTATAGCCACTTGTGTTTTTGTAATTAATAGCCAATCTGCGCACCGAAAGATTCTGCCATAAGTAATTGAGATAAATGAGCAGATCACCTGTTTTAGGCTATTGTCTGAGGGGTTAAAGTTGCTCAAAATGTGGGAGGAGTCCCCTTTTCTTCAGGTAACTCCGTTTCATTATTTATAACCACGTGTGTCTCCGAGAGGGGCATTGGTTTTAATTCTCTCAGAGGATGAGCCTACATTCTGTCCTCTAAACCTGTAACGAGCCGATGCTACCATTGTGCTGTTGCTATCACTTAAGAATAGTTACTTACCAAAGAGCAAACTTAATCCTGTTGTTTTGCTGATTGGCTGTTTTGTACAAAAGGAGTTGTAATATTCACTGCTATATGTTCTCATCTTTTTATCTTCAGTTGTAATGGCAAAATTAGTTTGAAATATTTTTCATGTCAGTCTTGGAATCTTTAAAGGTGCACAAATTGATGCAAAGCAGAAGGTGGAAATTATTTCTGAAATATGTTGTATTGAACTTAATAGAATTTGAGTTGTTTCCTTTTCTGTCACTTTTGAAATAACTAGAGTGAAAGAAGTCGATACAGTGTGGAGCTGGAAGAACATAGCAGGTCGGGCAGCATCAGAGGAGTCAGAGAATTGACACTTCAGGCCTTGACCCTTCATCAGGACAGTAATGTGAATATCTGAAAGGCTGTGGGGGGTGGATTGTGTGATTTTTAAACTCATGCTGCTCAACAGGCAGTGGACAGCTGCATAGTTAAAATCGCCTCTAAATATACTATCCCAGACATCACAGCCACCAATGTAGTGGCCGCTTTTGCTTTTACACCACATTTGCTTACCATTGGAGACAGGCAGCTGCTTCATAAAAACACTCAAATTGAAATTCCATGATACTATTAATTTAGATTCCTGCCTAAATAAAACATATTGGGAATACGTTTGAAAAGCTACTGGAAATGATATTTAAAAGATTACCCTAGTGAGGATGCAACAATCATTCTCCATCTGAAGAAGCATACAAAGTATTTAAGAGGTGCCATTCTTGCTTGTATTGTTTCAGATGAAACAAGAGGAGTGAAAAGAGTGCCAGCCTCCACATACAGGGGCTGTAGTTTGTGTGGACAGCAGGCTGTTCGCAGAACTCTCTCCATCCAGCTCATAGGCAAGAGCAGAGTTTTTCCGCCAGAACAAATATGTACCAGTTAATTTAAGTTCATAGCAAATTAAATCCTCTGTCAGGAGCCTGGGAGGGTGGTGCGAACAACACACTAAACTGATTTTGAGGCCATTTCCTCCCTGGCCACAATTGTAGGAGAAGACAGTCTGTTAGAGGGGCCCCTGCCACTGTGATGCCCTGTGCACTGTGGTGAATTTTAGTTTTAATTTTTAAAGTTGTTAGAGATGGAGGGGGAGGGGAGGAGAGGAGTGGGGGAAGAGAGAGAGAGTACTTCCCTACAAGATCTCTAAAGGAACATTGCTTCTTCAGACGGGCTACAGCCTTCTGCATCAAGATCTGGTGAACCTAAGGGCCAGCCTTTTTCAATTGTCTGTATCTTATTTAGGGTGTATCTTATTTATTTTCCTTTCTTTGCTGAAATGTTTTTGTTTCCCACCTTTTTTCTTTATTCATTCACAGGATTTGGGTGTCACTCGCTAGACCATCATTTATTGCCCACACCTAGTTACCCAGAGGGCAGTTAAGAGTCAACCACATTGCTGTGGGTCTGGAGTCACATATAGGCCAGATTGGGTAAGGATTGCAGTTCCCTACACTAAAGGACATTAGTGAACCAAATGGATTTTTTTTCTGACAATTAACATCCCTAACCCTAACCCTAATACATATCCATCTCTAGATTCTAAATTCCAAATTTTTATTAAATTCAAAGTCCATCATCTGTCATGGTGGGATTGGAACCTGGGTCCTCAGAATATTACCCGAGTCTTTGGATTAATAGTCTAGCAATAATGCCGCTAGACATTCATCTCCAGCTTTTACATCTCCACTTTTTCGTTCAGGGTGCAAGAACAGTTAAGTCCTTCCAGTTTGTTACAGGATCTGTAGAATTGTATTTCATTTGGAAACGTTAGTTATATATTTTACATACTCTGCATGGAGATATATCTCAATTTCCAAAAAGGAATATGCGATTTGCCACCTCTGAAATCTGTGCACTTTTGCATTGTAAATTCTAAAACAAACTTTAAAAGTAAATGTTGTAGCCTGAGTTTATTATCACAGAATTGTTATGCCATGGAACAAAGCCATTCCATTGATCATGTCTGCTCTGCTTCTATCCCCTAGTGCCAATCTCCTGCCTTTTCCCCACATCCCTGCACATCATTTCTATTCAAATTGTCATCCAATGCCTCAATTGAACCTGCCTCCTACACATTTCCAGGCAGCGTGTTCCAAAGTCTAACTACTTGCTGAGTGAGGAAGCTTTTCTCTCACATAATCCTTGCTTCTTTTGCACACTTCACTTAAAATCTATGCCGTCTCACTGTTTTCTCTTTTACAAACAGGAGTAGCATTTCCGCATCTATCCAGACCACTCATAATTATGAAAAGTTCTATTATTCTTTCCAAGGAGAGCAGTCCTACATTCTTAAAAGTATTCTTATAACTAAAGCTTTTCATTCCTGGAATCATTCTTGTAAATTGCTTCTGTATTCCTTCCAATACATTCGCATCCTTCTTATAATTGGTGCCTACAATGACACATTCCAGCTGAGATCGAACAAGTTTACAAATTCAACATCATGACCTTGCTGTTGTACTGTTTGCACCTATTAAAGCTAAGAGCACTGTATGCTTTGTCAACTGTTCTCTCTACCTTTCTTGTCACCTTCAGCAATCTGCACATATGCATCCAGGTGCCTCTGCTCAGCACCCCTTATTTTATATTGATTTTCAATATTCTTCTGGCCAAAGTCCATGTCCACGCACTTCTCTGCATTGAATCTCATCTGTCACTTATCCACCCACTCCACCAACTTGTCAATGTTCCTTGCAGCGTCAATCTGCAAACTTTGAAATTGTCCCCGGAAACCAAGATCTAGATCATTAATATGCTTCAGGAAAAGCAATGGTTCCAATACTGAACCTTGGGGAACTCCACAAAAACCTTTGTGCATCCAAAAAAAAATCCACTGACTGCTACTAACTGTTTCCAATCATTCAGCCAGTTTTGTATACAAGTTGCTACTGTCCCTTTTGTACCATGACTTATTATTTTCCTCTGAAGTCTGTTGCATGGCACTATATCAGATGCCTTCTGGAAATCCACATACAACACATCAACAGCGTTACCCTCATCAACGCTTTCTGTTAGGAAGGCAGATTACTATTTGAATGCCTGTAAATTGAGAGAGGAGAATGAGACCTGGGTGTCCTCGTGCAGCAGTCACTGAAAGTACAGGAGATGTGTGAGGAGATGCACTTTGTCCAGCAGAATATTGAAAGACCAAATAAAGTAAGGGTACAATGCTAAAGGGGGTGCTGGAGCAGAGGGACCTGGGTGCATATGTGCACAGGTGCAGCAAGCAGTAAAGAACAAAGTTGTATGGTGGCCTTTATAGTGAGAAGATTACAGAACCAAGGATATCTTACTTCATACAGGGTATTGGTGAGGCCACACCGAGAGTATTGTGTGTGCAGTTTTGGTCTCTTTATCTGAGGAACGACATTCTGGTGATGGAGTGCAGTGAAGGTTTACCAGACTGATTCCTGAGATGGCATGGTTGACGTATGAGGAGAGATTGAGTCAGTCAAGGTTGCATTCACTGGATTTTAGAAGAATGAGGGGGATATCTCCTAGAAACCTTCAAAACTCTGACAGGACTGGATAGGTTAAGTGCAGAAAGAATGTTATGATGATGGGGTGGAGTGGGGGTCGGCAGGTGAGGAGAGTGGGATTAGGGTATTGAGCGTGATGATCATCCACAATCATAATGAATGGTGGAGTATGCTCAAGGAGCCGAGTGGCCGTCTCCTGCTTCTATCATAGGGGAGCCGATGGCCTAGTGGTATTATCACTGGACTGTTAATCCAGAGACCCAGATAATGTTCTGGGGACTGGCTTCGAATCCTGCCATGGTAGATGATGAAATTTGAATTCAGTAAATAGCTGGAATTGATGATGATCATAAATCCATTGCCGATTGTCAGGAGGAAAAACCCATCTGGTTCCCAAATGTCCTTTAGGGAAGGAAACTACCATCCTTACCTGGTCTGGCCTACATGTGACTCCAGACCCACAGCAATGTGGTTGACTCTTAACTGCCCTTTAGGCAATTAGGAATGGGCAATAAATGCTGCCTAGCCAGTGATGCCTGCATCCCGTGAATGAATTAAAAAAATCTATATTTCTGTAGTACCTCTGCAAAAAAACTCCTGCTGTTATATTCGCATCTTTCTTACAACAT